GATCTAGGGTATACTGGTTTATTGCGGCTGCTGAAGTCTTCTTGGAGAGTCAACTAATTTCTAAGTTAAATTCAAATCTCTCTGGTGCTGAAATTACAAGTAATTCCAGCACTTACAAATAAGTGGGTTGTTAGTTAGATGGATCATGATTGGTTAATATTAAATACTTTACAGTGGTAAAATATCTAATTTATCCAATCATAAAATGTAGTTTAGATCAGGTTCCACCTGAGAGACACACTAAACTTACACGCCCTAAAATAATTATGTTCTCTGTTTATTTAAAAAGTTACTTATTCCAGTGCTCTATCTCTATACCTAAGGCAACTGTTTTAATCCTCTTTAAAACTATGATTCAACCAAACTACCTCGCCAAACCAACCGTCATTTCCTAGAACAACTGCTATTTTCTAGGCGTTTTCTAGGAGTTGATTCAAAGACAAATAAGCGTTTAAAAAAACATTTTCCCTCAGCAATATTTGTTAAAAATTTTAAGCTGCTATTGGTTTTTACATCAAATGCACTAGAGTTCTGCAGTGGAAAAAAACGGTTCCATTGTACCAAATTAATAAATCAAAAATAACTGTTTAGAAAAAGCAAGGATACCAAATATGATAATTTGCTTGTTTATCTCCACAGTATAAAATTGCATGACTACCCTTTTCTCTTCAAGGAAAAATAGTTCTTTTGTTTGGTTTTTGTTTTTGTTCCGGCTTTCCTAACGAAAGTAATGGAATATTTGTGCTCGGGTTTTTTTTTCTTTAGACAAATTTCCAATTTTTAACAAGCCATTTTTGACTGAATTTTTTTCTATACTTCAAAAGGTATTGTTGTCTTGAACTTAAACTTGAACAAAAAAGGCTTCAAAATAGGTGTCTACAAAAATGATATTCAATAAAAAAAGCTTCAAAATTGTTCTTTTGAGAAAAGATATTGAACGAAAGATATTGAACGAAAAAAGCTTCAAAATTGTTGTCTTTAAAAAAGATATTGAACGAAAGATATTGAACGAAAAAAGCGTCAAAGTTGTTGTCTTGATTACAGGTAACAACTTGAGACTCCATTGCCCTTTAACATTTCGATTGCTTTTTTGACAAATTGATGGTTTTTCTACTCCATTCTACAGTCTCAAGGTCATTAGTTGTGACAAAAAAGGTTTTTTTAATAAAAAAATTGAAATAAAATATTTTTTGACAATGATTGAGGAACTTTTGGCAAATTGTATCAAAGAAAATGTGCGTCGAAAATCAAAATTAACCAGTTTATTTCGATTGCTGCATAGTTATAAATCTTTATTTGGACGAAAAACGGGATCGACAGATTTTATCAGAGCAGCGACTTGGTAAAAAAGCTTTGCAACGAGATAGAAAACGGCGTTTTTTTTTATTTGAGCTTGTTAAATTTTTTGATCATAGACGAAATTGCACTTCTAGTGCTAATTTTTTAACAATGAAAAGTTGAAAACGACTGCATCACCTTGAATTGCCAATTAGTTTATGTTTTTTGAGTAAACTTATAACTTGCACAGAAAAAATGCAGGTATATTTATTTAAAGATATTTTTGAATGTTAATTTCAGTGTATTTTTGAACCGGACTGTACAATGAGATACTACATGATGAAGATTTGATTAGAGTAAGGTTTTCGAATCAGCTCTTTTTTCCAAAAAAAATTATATATTTTTTAAAAATTTTTTAACTAGTTATTTAAACTAGATTTTGTTGGGCCAAAATTCTGCAAATTCTATTTTTATCACATTACCACCTGAGTTGCTTGTCCATGGGATTCCATCACTGGGGGCACATTGCGAGACCAAACTGTGCACTGGATAGGCGCATATTTTAGTGTGTATGTTCCTCGATTCCAAAGACAAGTATTTAAACACTTCAAATTTTTGTCGGTACGATCAAAGAAAATGAAAGAACAAAAGAAGGACAAAAGGAGCGTCCTTGTTGCAGAATTTGCTCACAATTCACAAAAAGCACAGTTTGGACTGGTAGTGCATCTCTGGAGCCGGGCCTGGTCAGGGGAAAGCATTTCAAAGCCTTGCAGCGATTGCCTGTGCACTGTGCTTCCGGGATAAATCAGATCCCAAAAACGATACAAACCAAAATATTTCCTCATACAAGAAAAAACCTATAGGTTAATTGGCAAGAATCTTGCAGAAACACTGCATTTTCAGATTCAACATAGAAAATACCATTTGAAATTTTAACAGACTTACAACCCGCACCGAAGTTTTATGGATAAAATGGGTTATAATCGACTTTTGTTGACTAAAATGTTGTCTATTTAATCGATTATCGTGGCAAATTCAGGCAACTCATTGGAATTTTAGTCCAATTTAACCGTATTTTTTGAAAAATACAAATTTTTAAAATCCATTATAACCGATTATAATCTATTTTTTTCTGCCTTTAAGATTTGTATGTTATTAAAACTTTCGTGGAGTAATTGATTTCGACTAACAGTATACTGGCTGTCGTTCTTTTTATTAATTCAACAAGTTTATTTGACGGAGTAGTCCGGACACTGCAATGATGGCGTTCGTTTTTTAACAAAGCTGCGTGAATCAATGTTTTGGTCATGTTATACCCGCACGGAACTTTCATGGGTAAAAATCGATTAAAAAGGATTTTTGTTGACTAAAATGTTGCCTATTATCATGGCAAATGTAAGCAACGTAATTCATTTTTAATCCATTTTAATCTATTATTCTTGAAAAAAAATCAACAAAATCCATTATAACCAATGAAAATCTATTTTTTGTTTTCAATGGACTATTTCGAATTATGATGGAAAAATTTTTCTACTTAAAATCCATAAAAATTGGTTTAACTTTGTAAATAGTGTTTCTACTTTTTCAGGTCGATTGCAAAAATCGAACGACCACGTTCATCCAGGGGCGGCCGATATGTAGTAATTTCGAAGAGCTATTAAAATAGAGCAACTTTATTCTTTTTCCCCCCTACGTCACCCCATCTTCCCCACATTTGAACCCAAACGCGTTTACCACACCCTCACTCAACACTAAACACCCCCACAGGGACAGGTAACCACGTAGTAGAGGTAGAAGTGGGGAGGGGTGGTGGGTGATGTAGTGTGGGTTCTATCCATTAGCACCCCCCCATACACACACACCACTCCAACCATCCCCCCAACACGTTTACCCATACTACATAATTCCTATCCAGGTGGGGATGTTTAGTGTTTAGTGGGAGTGTGGTAAACGCATGGGAAGGGGTTTTGGATTTAAACGCGGGTTTGGCGAATAACTCCAATAAAATACTAACAAAAATAAGTGACTTTCTATACATTTTCATTAACGCGATTGAAATCGGAAAACGTTGAAATAAAGCGAGAGAACAAAATAACTAACTTGAGTTTAACATCATAATGAAAAAAGGAAACAGCACACCGAAAACTTTTAGTAAATTGATAATAATCCATTATAATCGATTATAGTTAATTAATTTTCTTTTTTTTGAAAATAAGTTGAAAATAATCGATTATAATTGAATAAATTTGGATATTTTAACCTAAAAAAAATAGTATTATCATAATCTAATTTTGATCGAATAAAACCAAATCTTTTGGTTCTTTTTTTGAGACTGACAATGAAACCTCAATATGATCTATTATTATCCATGAAACTTCAGTGCGGGATAAACAAACATAGCTTTTTCTACGTATAGCTAAATAGCTTCTACTTCAAAAACCGGGGTTTGAAACTTTTATGAAGGCTTTCTGTCAAATTTAGACTTCTCTTGCTATTTGAAAACAACTAAAAAATCAGTTATATGTCATACCGATGATTTTTTTTGGGTGAATAATTGCGTCTGGACTACGTTATGCGCCAAAAAAGTTTCCTTTATGCATGCAAATTTTTTCTGGAAATTTTTGTTTGAGTCTAAAAACAACCTTGCGGCAGTTATAAAAGAAAGAAAAATTATAAAAGTGCTGGCTTCCTGGTTTTCTTATGATAAAATGCTTATCTTACAATTTCAATATATGAAAAAATGTTTATCCTACAATTTCCGTTTATGAAAAAATGTTTATCCTACAATTTCCTTTATGAAAAAATGTTTATCCTACAATTTCTATATATGAAAAAAACGCTTATCCTAGAGTTTTTTTTAACAATTTTTTGAGTCTATGAAACTGTAGGAAATTGTAGGATAAGCATTTTATCATATATGGAAATTATAGGATAAGCATTTTCGGTCAACCCACGCTAAGATGCAGTTGAAAATTGAAGCAAGATTTAAGGGGTTTGAGCGGTTTTTTTAGACAATTACGCTCAAAAGTTTGCTTCCAAATGAGCGGTTTGAGCGGATTTTGTACGGTTTATCTAAAAAAAACACCGCAAGTTTTGAACGGTTTTGAGCGCTTTATCTAAAAAAAAAAAACACTCAAAAACCGCGCAAGATTTGAACGGTTTTGAGCGGTTTATCTAAAAAAAACACTCAAAAACCGCGCAAAATTTGAATGGTTTTGAGCGGTTTATCTAAAAAAACCGCTCAAAAACCGTGCAAGATTTGAGCGGTTTTTGAGCGGTTTTTACAGGTAAACCGCTCAAATCTTGCGCGGTTTTTGAGCGTTTTTTTAGATAAACCGTTCAAAAACCGCTCAAACCGCTCATTTTGAAGCAAGATTTTGAGCGTAATTGTCTGAAAAAACAGCTCAAACCGCTCAAATCTTGCTTCAAATTAGGTGAAAAATCTCGACTCGGGTGGTACCAAGCAGGTGTCAGGAGTTGGTTTTCAACAGTATTCTATCTTAGATTTCATGGCAGGGTTGCTGGATGGCCCCTGGCAGGAATTCCATGGTTGCCCTGGACTATTTAAGTTCCCGGAGGAAGTCCAAGAATTTCCCTTGCAAGGCAACACGAGCAATCAAGATAGCTCAGGTACCATTCAAAAACTTAGATAAAAGAGTAACCTAAATTGACTTAAGATTCATGAAAAAAACGGGAATCGAAAAAAAATAACTGAAATTTACCTTCTTCGCTGAGAATTTGTTTGAGGCGCTGCAGTTTACTTGGACTGATCAGGAAATCATCTTTTCTGTCTAACATTTTTTTTGCTTGCGTCAGTCGATCGATTCCTTTTTGATAATGTAGTCGTTTTTCTGTTGTTTGTTTCGCTTCGCCCTTTTTTTTATCTCCTATTTTGTTTTTTGCCTTGTTAAATCTTTCAATTTTTTCCTCTACTTGTTCAAATGTTTTTTCTATTTCTTCCAGCAGGCTCTGACAATGTATATGGTCAGGACATCGGCCCTTTTCTTCCAATCTCAATCTGTTTTCAACGTCGATCTGATTGTACGGAGGACCGCATATGACATGACCGCAATCCAATTTCAGTGGGAATTCGGGATAACCAGAACAACTTTTTACAGAGCAGTTTTGTACGGCAGACTTGCGAGATTTGCTTTTGCCGCTCATGGTCGCAGTTTAACAAATTATTTGTGATTATAACTAACGTTGAGTTTTGACAGCAGAGTAAACTTAATTTTAGTGCATATGTTTTTTTTCAAATGCTTGATAAAAAGTGTGAAGTGTGTAGAATACTGAGGCTTACATGACTAGTTTGTTTAATTGGTTATCTATTTTCAAGCCGGTTTAGTTTTGCATTTTTCTAATCAATTTTGAGTCAAAGTATATTTGAATCGTCACAGCTTTTGATTGAATTTAAATTTGATTTTTGAGCTTTGAGCTTAACCAGTTATAACCTTTTTAATATACATAAATGGTTATTTTACGCGCAACGTTAAAGAATGGTTTCATCTGAAATTTTTTAATGAAATGTTTTATTTTCGAGAATGTTTGTTGAATATTGGTATGCTCGCTAATCTCCAAAAAACTGTTCCAAATCCGTAAATTAGTAAGAGATATTTCTCGGCAAATAACTCGGTCAATAAAATAATTTCGGCATTTTTCTATTGATCAGAACATCATATAACATTTTTTTCATCTGTCCGTTTTTGGTACAAAACGGCGCAAGCTAGCCACAAGAACCGGTCGGTAATGTCCTTGAGACAAATTGCTCTTTTTGGCGGTCAACCTTAATCAAGGCTGAACCGAATTAGAACCAAAAAACAGTAAAAAACGGTCAAATGGGGCTATAGCCCCTCGGGTCTACATGTTTTAAGGTCTGCATATGGGGGGACTCGAACCCGGTTGACCGGCGTGAGAGACTTGTCTCTAGGCCGCTCGGCCAACTGTGCTTATTGTTGTTACATTTTAGTTCAGTTTTATATGCATCTATACTCTACATTCTATACTCTACATTTGCATTGCAACATCCTCCCCCCCTGAAGAAGGAAGAACCGGAGCGAGCTTAACGGTCGGCCGCGTGACTTCACGGGTTGCGGTCCTGACAAGGGCGGATCGGGCGCAACCGTCCTGTCCGTAGTTTAGCTTGACGATTCGGGCGAGAGGGTAGTACCCACGCGGACTATCGGGCTCAATCACCCACACGAGATCGCCTGTTTTAAGAGTGAAGTCAGAATGAGTGTGCCACTTGACACGCTTATTCAGCGAGGGCACATATTCTCGAAGCCAACGAGACCAAATCGCGTTAGCATATGACTGCGCTCGCACGTACCTTTTCTTGTGATCGAAGTGCTCCCCGGGTAAAAGCGAAGGAAAGCTTGTGGCATGTTGTCCAAGCAAAAAATGGTTTGGGGTTAACGCTTCTAACTCACGTGAATCGGTACTAACGGGAGTGATTGGCCTTGAATTCAAAGCCTGTTCAACTAAGCAGAGTGTTGTTCCTAACACCTCTTCAGTGACTCGCCTACTGCCTAGGATATCGTACAGCACGCGCTTCACGCTTCGGACGAGGCGTTCCAAGGAGCCGCCATGATGGGGTGCGCCTGGCGGGTTAAATTTCCAAGTAACACCTTTGTGTGCAAAAATGGTCGGAGCCATGCTATTCCAGCTCTTGATGCAGGCAAGTAATTCCTTTTCCGCACCAACGAAGTTCGTGCCATTATCCGACCAGATTGTGTTTGGCGTACCACGGCGCACAACGAACCGTTCAATGCCCATGACACACGAACTGGTGTCCAGAGACGGTACAATCTCAAGGTGTACAGCCCTGTTTGTGAGGCAAGTAAAAAGAAATCCCCATCTTTTTTCCGTGCTTCTGCGAACCGGAACGTAAAGCGGTCCAAAGTAATCCACACCCGTATGATTGAAGGGTGGTTGCTTGTATCCGAGACGTTCGACCGGTAAATCGGACATAATTGGCTGGATGGTGCTTGCTTTGCGTTTACGGCCTGTAACACATTGATTTTCGATAGACCGCAGTAGTCGACGCAACCCAAGTATTGCATATTTCATATTTAAAACGGAGCGCATGTAATCTAATCCTTGATGAAAATGCTTATGGTGGAGGCTGCGGGCCAACAAACGAACTAAGGTATGTCAGGCGTCGAGTATTATTGGGTGCTTAGTATCAAACTCGGTATTCACTAAGCGCACAATCCGTCCGGTGGAACGAATGATACCAGCGGGACCGATAAATGGCGAGTATGTGGCAATTTTACTACTATTCTTAATAGGTTTGCCAGCGGTGAGTGCTGTTAACTCAACGGGAAAGGATTCCATCTGAGCAAGATGAATCAGTTTGCTTTCTGCAATATCAAGTTCAGTAGGGTCGGTGATTCGTAAGTCTTTACCACGAAAATGCTTATGTGAAGGCAACACCCTCAACATAAAAGCGACTACTCGTTTATATCTTGTAAAGGAACTGAACCTTTCCCAATTGAACCCGTGTTCGGGATGTTTGATTGATGTGACATCGGTGACGAAGGAAGATGATGTCTCCAAGCAATTATCAACATCACAAGAAGGACCCTTCAAACGAAATTTATTGGTTACACGTTCGTCGGGTATAAACGGCCAATCAGTAGTCCTGAGAATGCTCGGACCAATAACCCAGCTGCTATCCTTGAGGGCTTCCGAAGAAATCCCCCGCGTACCGGTATCAGCTGGATTATCGCCGCTCAGAACATGGTGCCACTCATCAATAGTGGTCGACTCGAGGATTTCGCCGACACGATTAGCGACGAATACAGGTAATTTTTCAGTGGAGTTTAGCCACTGCAAAACTGTTGTACTATCTGTCCACATAAAGACATGATTAATAGAGACGGTAAGGGCGGTCAGTATATCATCTTTTAGTCGTGTGGCGAGCAGAGCAGCTTGAAGCTCTAGCTTCGGTATAGATAGCGCTTTCATGGGCGCAACGCGAGCTTTACCAAAGATGAAGGATATTTGAGTTTTATGCGAGCTCGCGAGTCGCGCACGCAAAAATCCAACAGCACAGAAAACGTCCTGCGAGCTATCACCGAACATGTGGAGCTCAATTTGATCAACAGGCTCTGTGAAGTAACAACGGGGAATAGTCAATTGCCCTAAGAGAGGGAGACCGGAGTGCCACTCGAGAAACTTATCTCTTATGTCTTCTGGCAATTCGTCGTCCCAACTTTGACCACTGATTTTCCAAATATCTTTCAGTAAAAGGCGGGCCCTAACTGTGTATGGAGCTACTAACCCAACAGGGTCAAACACAGAAGAGACGAAACTCAAGACGGTTCGTTGAGTTATTGCTTTATCGAGAGGACAATCCACGCCTCTGCTAACAACCAATGTGTCTTTCACATGGTCCCACTTAAGACCTAAGACGTGTGATGATTGTTCGGCACCGTTACATATTTCCTTGATGGGTGAAGATGAGGTTTCGGATTCCTCGGGGTTCATTGCTGAAGTGATTTCATCAGCATTACTGACAAATTTAGTCAAATTAAATCCTCCCATTTTTAGTAAGGAAACCAAATCGCGACAAGTTTTAATTGCTTGGGTAACGTTCTCGAATGAATCCAAGTAATCGTCCATGTAAAATTTTTCATTTACGACTGAGGCGGCCTCAGGGTATGTGGACATATTATCAGTTGCTGTTTTTTGCAACGCGAAATTGGCGCACGTAGGCGAATCCCGTGCGCCGAATATATGGCGAGTGTACTGATGAACTACCACATCGGAAGTGGTATCCTCCCGCCACAAAAAACGGAGCGAAATTTGATCGCGGGCAAGGACTCCTACCTGGAGGAACATACCCTCTATATCCGCGGAGACGGCGTACTTATGTTGACGGAATCGCAAAAGCACAAAAATTAAATTTTGGAGTAGGTCAGAACCCACCAATAAGGACTTATTTAAGGATGTGCCGTGAAACTTAGAAGCCCCATTAAGGACTCGGCGCACCTTACCCGGCTTATTCGGATTTACGACGGGATGGTGCGGAAGATACCACTCGCGATCGGAACGCTTACGTGGATCATGCGGTTCGACGGTAACGACATAGCCTTTCCTAATGTCCTCTCTAATTGTTTCTGCGTATCTTTCGCGCAGCTCAGGGTCTTTACTTAACCTTCTCTCCAATGATTTAAATTGGGCGAGTGACGAGTAATAATTGTTTGGTAGACTGACATTACTATCAATCCAAAGCATAGGCACAATGTATCTTTCGCCATTGTGAACGGTTTCAGAATTGAGGATGGATAAAGCATGTTTATCCGCGGCGGAACGGGCATCGACTTGTTTGAAAGCACCATACGATTCCAACTCGTACCAGGATTTTATCTGGTCGGTCAGAGAAGAATCTTCAACAACACACTTGAAACACGAAGAAGTAGAATTACCGGACGGCGGCAACGGACCACTTAAGACCCAACCTATCGGTAGGCGAACGGAACACGGTGAGTTTTTATCATCTCCCAAGATGAACTCAATGGGTCTAACGGCGTGGTAGTTGTCTTGTCCGATAATAACTTCAACGTCCTCATAAGTATATTGAATGGGCTTAATAGGTGCTAATTGTGGATATTTATTCTGCAAATCAGCAATATTGATTAATTCGGAATCAATCCGAATACTGTCTTTAACATATGCACAGAGAGAAAATACGAAATCACTATTATTCGGCTCGGAGGAAACTGTAAACTTGACCCTCTGAGTCTCAACAACGGTGGTCGAATTGAAACCACTAATTGACAAGTTAACGGGCTCCC